TTGAAGATCACCTTCGTGTTCAACGAGAACCCTTTCTTCGAGAACAAGTCATTGTCGAAGACCTACCACTTCAGCGAGGTTAATGATATGCTTCGTCATGAGATAACGTCTATCGACAGCGACACTGTGGCGTGGAAAGCTGGCAAGGACCTCACGTTGAAGTCTGTGGTTAAGAAGAATAAGAAGACTGGTGCTACTAAGACTGTCCAGAAGGAGAGGGAGTCTTTCTTCAGATTTTTCACGTAAGTTTTGGAGTTTTAGTCAGTTGTAGTTTATTGTAGGGTAGTTGTACGTAGACATTTAAAATGGTGAATTTATTAGTCTTGTGATCATTTCTTATCAGCAGCATGTAGACGGAAATTTTGGTCAAGTTGTTGTGATTGTGATTTTTTACGTTCGGGCGTTGATGAGATCTACGCAAATCCCTGTTTTTCGTATGGTGTTTGATTTCGCTTCGTTACTTACATTCTATGTAGTTCTACTCACGTCGTGAGGTTGGATGCATCTTCAACCTTGAGAATTTTCACTGCAGTATTGTGTCCTTTTTCAGTCCTCTTGGACCTGATCATCCCATCCCTGAAATCTACTTAGATTTGGACTCTGATTCCGAGTCCGATGATGACGAGGCTGATAAGGAGCGTCTGCAGTTCTTCATGAGCGCCGATTTCGAGAAGGCTGATGACTTGAAGGAGAATATTGTTCCTCGTGCCTTCAAGTAAGACTGAATTGCAAATTTCATTTACTGCAGTACGAGGTGTACTATAATGGTCGTTTGCGTATACAATGCGGTCTACTTTCAATTTTGGGTATTATTTTTTCATGTCAACGTGGTGGTGGTAAACCTATAAATATCAATAATACTATAATATCATAAGAATATAATTTGTAGTAAAATATAAGATCAGAATAATATTATAAACTCGTTAATATCGATAGTTACCAATTGTATATCATCTATTCAAAATTATTGTATGAAAAACTATTAGATTTTATCACGTTTATCATATTACAATACGATCTATATATTACTTTTATTATGTTATCCTTATATCCTTCTTTATGATCCCAATATCGTTATATTAGTTTATTACATTTATGTGTTTATGGTTGATATGATGGTGAAATTCATGTGCTGTTGATTTCGATTTTTTTCCTCAAAAATATATGGTTGAAGTTGGTCGTAAAACTTGTGTCGAAATGGTATTATGATCAGATACTATACCGGCGAGGCTGCTGATTACGATTCCGATGAGGACGATTCGTCGTGTGAGGATGAGTGCGAGTCCGACGATGACTCTGAACAGGCTGATGAGGGCGCCGTTCAGAAGCACGAGTAAATACGCATTTGTATTACACGAAGGTTAGAAGTGGGGATTTAATGTCTCACTCATTATTCTACTGTTCTTCTCACTGTAATCGTTGCATCGTCCGTCACTGAATTATCGGAAGCTCCAGAGCAGCTACAGCACTGTATTGATCGATCGTAGGGTGTAGGGTAATCTGTCGGAAACACTGCCAAATCTGTTTCTGGTTACGTTGATAGACGAGAAGCTGTTGAGTTTTTCGGGTTAGTGGGGTGATTGCTCTAGATTCGGGTTGGTTTTTTTGTAGGGAATCGAATATTTTGAGAAGTGGGGCGATGCAGTATTCTCATGGCAGTAGCAGTTTGGTGCAACTCGAAAGGGTCGGAGTTTGCTTATGCGGCTGTTGTTATGCTTAGTCCATTGGAGTTTGACACGTGTCGTGAAAACATTAGTGGAGAGTATATTTCACGACTACTGCATATCGCGAATATCGGGTTTTTCACGGAGTATTATGCCACTGATTGCGAGAACGTTAGCGTTGGTTGTAACTCTTGTTGATGGTATTACCGTGGAAATTAATCATCTGCGTCTTATATATCTTGTATGTTATAGAAGGAAAGGAAAAATTAGCGGGAAATATTTTTTGAACAGCTTTATTATTCATAACGGCTTTCTGATGCCCCCACAAACGTCATCGGTCGCCCAATGCCCATCACCCAAGAGAGCTCGGAAGCAGTCAGCTTCTACCACGTCAGGCCATCCTCTCGGTGTGCGGCCTTTGGGAAACCTCTATCTGGTTAGTGACGCGCACAGAGCAGAAATTACGGGCGATTTGAAAATGGTGGGGGAGGAAATTTTCGTTGGAACGATACTACGGTATTTGGATGGAAAATCATTGGCATTTTTGGGGATGACTTCGAGAGCGATGTTGGCGTATACGGGGCTTGATGAGCTGTGGAAAGACCTCGTGTGCGGAAATGAAAATTATCGCGGAAAAATCGAGCCGGCGGAAAATGGAGCATATTGGAGGGACACGTATTATCGTATGCGAGGAGGAAAAATGGCGCCGAGATTCGACTGTAGAGTCTTCAGCGATTTGCTTTATCAACCGTTTTTGCTGCGGAATTTACCGATGCCAGCTGAAGTGAGCAGTGGGAAATGCAACATAACGCGAGTTGATGTCTCGGAACTTTCGGTTGAGGATTTTGTGGCGAAATTCGAAAGGCCGGGAAAACCTGTTATATTAACGGGTGGAATGAAAAACTGGGCGGGTATGGAAAAATGGCACTCTGATGAGTATTTGATGCAAGCGTGTGGTGACACGGTGTTACTGTGCGGAAGTGGAGATATGACTATACGGCAGTGGTTGCAGTATTGGAAAAATGGAGGGTGTAGAGAGGATGGACAGCTGTTTGTATTCGATGGAGAATTCCGAGAGACCTGCCCGAAGTTGACTGAAGATTATGAAGTGTTTGAGTAGTACTGTGAGGGGGGGTGTTGGAGGAACATGCGTTCGCTCTCGTCACCAGAGTTGAAGAGTTCCTCGTTTACTTACGAATTCGGGTAGGAGTGTACAGAAAACAATAAGAATTTCGCAAAGTTTTATCGGAATTTTCATATTGTCACCAACAAATGTGCATATTTTCCCCTCATATTGGACTGCCACGTTCAAGAGTGATTCAGAATTTCTCAAAATTGTTCACCAAGGCGATCGTGCTTAGTTACTTCAAGAAGGACATGTATGACCTGTTGAACGGGACGCCATACAGGCCTCGCAATGCCTGGTTAATGGTAGGAGGCCCTGGAGCTGCATCCAAGTGGCATGTTGATCCTAATGCTACTCACGCTTGGAATGCAGTAGCGAGAGGAAGCAAACGATGGGTAGTGCAAAAGGGGGTAAAGCTGGTTATATTAACGGGTAGTAGTACGTTAATGGAGAGTTTTATATTCCTTCGTGTTGGCTCCACGAAAATTGACTTCGACCGACTCAACAGTATCTACCGATTCAAACGCTTCGGGTGTCATCTCAACGGGAAGGCTGCATCGTGACGCCAATTGGGCGTCTTTAGTGTTTCCAATCATGTTCATGCGTACACATTTTCAACTGAGCATTGATCCTCGTAAGTTGTACTGAGATTGGATGATCGTAGCCATATCTTGGCTCACGTTTGTTGGGTTGTCTCAATGCCCTAACGAATCTGAGAGTCTCCAACCTGCAACTAGCATGGAAAGTCTCTGCGCGGCGCGCACATTGAAAGGGAGTCCGTTCACAAAAAGCACTTAGTTGTACACGCTAGTCGGCATGAGAGTTGGAAGGAGGTCTTGTGAGAGTCAGAAGAAACGAGTATCTTTTTGATGAAAAGGGTGGGAATTTCTGCGTGGCAAATATTAAAAATTATACGCCATGGAGTCTGCAAGAACTGTTTACGAGGAGCACACTAGATAATCGTAAAAATCTCGCAAGTAGGTCTTATGAAGGTCAGAAGCAACGAGCGCTGCGAAGGGGGTTGCTGACTGGTTTAGTGTGGAGAAATGAGCTCATGGTCAACCATATGTGTTGGTGAAATTTTGGAAATTTTGGTAGAATCTTGATGGTTTTTGAAAACTTTTATCCGAATTCGTACTCAAACTCCTGAGCTCAGCTGACGAAAGGGAACATATATTCCTCCAACGCTGTTCATATCAATCGGCAACAAATTCACCTCCGGAAAGGTTGTGTATGTCTACTGCATATCATTCCTCAGTTCATGCTACCTCCAAGCTGTATTCCGGTCGGAGTGTACCCTTCTGGTGATGGCTCTAACATGACGCAACCTGTGTCCCTACTTCACGAATGGTGGCCTAGGTGGGTAGTTGTTGCTATCTTTTGCGTAGCAAACCGAATCTCGATCATGAACGTGAAGTTTACCTCTGCTGTATCACGCGAATATACACTAGTAGTAGATCTAAGGAGTGTGGAGTACATTGCTTTGAAATTGTCTTAAAAAGTACCCCCTGTTAAGTTCTTTAGGAAAATTCGAAAAATCAGCGTTTATTGTTATTGCATTTAGTAATATTTCTATCGCTGTCCAGAAAGGATGGAAACATATGAATAGGAAGCTTTGGATTTTTGACATTTTTGTGTGAAACTCCGAAAATCGATTTTTCATATATTTTATCGTCCCGAAGATTTGTACAGTACGCGCCATCTAAAGAACCGGAATGGTTGTGCAAGGGTAACTTCTACAAAAAAGTGAGTTTTCTTGGCTTGACATTTTCTCGTGTATCACTGATATATATACGTATTGCTTAGGAGGGGACAACACTCGATTGTCGAAAAAATGTGAAAGTTAAGAAAATTCTCTAAAAATACCTACCTCGCAGAAAACCATTCCGAACTGAAGTAGTTTTTGCTCCCTCAATAGATTCTTCGAAGAGACCGAAGCTCTGTACGGCGATAAGCTGCTACAAGGGACCTGCAAAGCTGGAGAGTGCATGTTTGTTCCGAGGGGGTGGTGGCACTGTGTTATTAATAATGACGACAATGATGACATCACTATCGCAAGTAATACAAAACATAGGGTGTCACTGAACTCCTAGAGCTCACTGCTGGAGGGGTGGATTTTTTTTCTTTTTTTTGTGTTTTTTTGTTCTCCCATTTTTGCTCCTCTATTAGTAGGGCCTTGTAATAGAGTTCGCACATACATGCGCTGTTATTCGTTGAAAATTCGTTTTGAATGCTCTGCTCGCTCTTTAATCACTAGGCACAGATATAAAACGAATAAATAAGTCTTATGTATTACTATTAAAGTTGCGAGACCTGTGTGTTGGTGAGTAGCCGAAAATTTCATCGATTTATCTTGTCAGTTACTCAAAACTACTGTGCAGAATCGAGCGTTCACAAAGCGCGACGTTTCTTCCGTGAAACTCCTCATTGTATATCGGGTCTTCTCACCCACGATTGCGATGAGTATGAGAAGTTGCAAAACGAGATGGCTGATGAGTTTGATAAACGGCTGAGGAAAAAGCGTCCGGATTTACTGGCGCGAGACGATGTAGTGTGGGCGAGAGCGGTACGCGTGTGTTGATTAAACGGTGAAAGCTTGTAGTATCATCATTGGAGTTCACCCGTGATACAAAAGTTTCATTTCACTTCGCGAGAAAACGCATGTGAAAAGTGGATAACGCGTAAAACACATATAATGTTCCATGTGCAATGGAGTCATTTGTTCGGTGTGATTCTCCAGATATTTTCAATTCGCTTCATATCGCTTTTTTCATTGAGTGTTGCGCCGCTTCACGTAGAAGGGGTGGAACTTCAATGATCATGGGTGGAAAATTATTGGAAAAATGAGTACGATGATGTGAAATAAAATAATAATAGAAATAATTGATAGTAATGATGATAATGGAAAATACCATTATAATGGAGTTTAACCCATTTAACGTGAAGTGGATTCTGAGGCGTATATGTTTCCATAACCGATGGTACAATTGTTCTCGCGATGTGGAATGTGAAATATGTTTGTCACTAGTGTTTTTCACATCACGGGTGAAATTTAAAGGATATGGGAAAAATGAGCTCAGCTATTGCCATGTTGTGCGAGAGGGAAATTTTCTTTCCTTTCTGATCATCCTTTTAATTCCCCGAAAGAAATTCTCCTCATAGGGGAACTTTTTCCTGTCTTAATTGTTGGTCATTGTAAATTTATGCTTGTTTTTTTCCGACTATTTACGTATTCAAAGTTCACTTTAGTTTGTAGATGGTAATGTGCTCGTGTACTGTTTACACTTGTATGTATTCTACTCGGCGTTATACAGTTGTAACTATGCTCTAGGAATTCGGAGGCTCGTCATTTTCAGTCCCCGAAAGCGCCCAAGGATATTTTGGATAGTGAGAGGCATGATGGTAATGGTGAAAAGTTCTCTTTTTGGTCCCACTTGAAGTCCATGCGGAAGACCATATCGTATGAGAAGAAATAAGTGATCTACATGATGTAGAATACGTCTATTGCATCGCTATTGTGCTTATCATTCACACTGACAGTACGTTTCTATTCTCATTGTGAAGAACGGGTTTTGTTGATTACTTCTTGGGTGAACTTGAGGAGACGTCGCCTTTTTGTTCAGTATAGCTATGGTTTGTGTTCATATCGTATAAACATCGTGTTCATATCGTATAAACATCGTGTTCATATCGTATAAACATCGTGTTCATATTGTGTAAACATCGTGTTCATATCGTATAAACATCGTGTTCATATCGTACAAACATCGTGTTCATATCGTATAAACATCGTATTATATAAGTACACAAATAACGCAACCCGCAAAAGCTGCAAACGAGACGCCAGCTTCGTACCCTTGTTATATCATATAATAGTCATAGTGAATAGTAGCTACTATGACTATTATATGATATAACTATCTACTGGATAGTATACATAATGTTTCAGTCTGAAAGAGTTCCGGGGATCGACCTCTGATAATTTCAGAGGTCGATCTCCCGGACTCTTGAAACAGCGTGCGGAACAGTATCGTAGGAGCATTCATAAAGCACGCCAATACTTCTGTTGGTCATATAAGCCAACCGTCTGAAAATCGGCCTGTCGATGAGTAGTACGCTTTTGCTGCAATTTGGGTTATTCGCACTCTCAAGATCGCGATAGGATCTGAGTCAAAAACGAATCAGGCGGAAGGGTGATAACGCCATCACATCACGAAAGTGGCAATGACTTGTTATCGGGAAAGGGAGTAGGAATAGTGATAGTTGTGACACATTTGAGATGAATGGAATCATAATTCGGTAAAGTTCCATTGTTGCGCAGCATTTTTAGGAAATATGTTTTGTTTCCTCAGCTGAGCTCAAGGATTTGCTTGCTGCATTATGAAAATTCATGCAGGACTAGTTGTGAGGGTGTTCGAAAACCGAGGAAAATCTCCCGAAATCTGCTCGGAGTTTCTTCATTGTTACCAACACATCATGCGTAATACATGTAGTTGACCATATGCATTTTCCCCGCTACACATAGTACAGTGCGTGTTAATTTGATACGCAAATGTGCGTTACTTTTTAGGTTAAAGAGATTCAATCTGGAACTAGATCGCATATGCAATGTAACAATGGCTATGAACATGTGTTGTGATGACCGTCCCCGTCTGGGACTGTGATAGCAGCAACTTGTTCACTATAATTCGTCCTCCAAAATAACACACATTTGCATATCAAATTGACACGCACCGTATTGGAATATTTGTTTGGTTCCCTCAGCTGATTCTGGGAGTTTACTTGCTATATTTATAATATAGCATTGTATGGAAATTCATTTACGACTTCGGGTAGAAGTGGGAAATGATCAACATGAACTCTCCAAGATCAATCGATTGTCACCAGCACGCGTAGTTAACCATGTGCCAATTTACCAACACCGCATAGTAGACTGTGTGTGGGGGATAGTAGTTCATTTAGATGATCATGTAAAGGCTTTTGGACGGAAGGTTCACGATGAAGAGAGTATTGCAGCCGTTCATCAGCAAGCAAAATCTGTGCCCCATGCAGCGAATATGTTCCTGAACAGTTGAAGTGGTGTGTTTTACTCAGACTTTGACGACATTAACTGAGCTCGGCGCCGGATACAAAGGACCGAGAAGGCTTCTCAAGCGCTACTATTCCATTCCTTAAGTCGGCAGCTCGGTGGTTTATTCGCGTTAATGCGGTAATTTTCCGTGGGGGTTCTCGGCCCTGTTGCAATAACGATATACTAGTTTTCATATAGACCATTTATGGGAGTCTCACGATACCCAGAAGGTGAGCTCTCAGTGAGTGAATTTCACACACCAGTAGTGCTTCGGTGTGGAAATGCTTTGCAATATCTAGAATAGAGGTCAGCGGGTAATACCCGCCGGGTATAGAGCACTACAGAGTTTTTGTATACGATTAACTAATACAGCTATATAGATTGTGTAAAGTTTAATCGAGTTGGCTGTTCATTTGTGCGAGGTCAGCGGTTTCCATTGTTCACCTGTAAATATGGGAACCACTCGCCACAATGAAATCGGTTCACCCGTAAATACGGGTTGTTCTCCGACTCGAACGCCTCAGCTAGCTCTGGAGGACTACAGTCCAACATTTTGTTACATGTTCGGTCCATTGAATTGATCCCCAGGGGATTTCAGTCGGCTGATAGCGGATTTCCTTCAGACTGACAGGCAAACTCGTCCGAACCGGTTAACCTCAACTTTTCCTCAACGCAAGTTGCTGTCTACGATTGTAGACTGCAGTTCACTGAGCAACTCGAGGAGCAATAAATGGCTCCTTCAAGAGCCCATGGGATGTGAAACCCGAGGTATGAATCCTCGACGGTGAATCACTCGCCCAGTCTCACGCCCAATCGATCTGGTGAAGTGAGGAACTTTCTGCAAGTCGTGAATGTCTTGAGCATTCCAATTTTCCATAGAACTTCTGGCGACTGAGCCGGTATTCATTGTGATGGACATCACAAACGCATTCCTACACATAGGGTTCACGGAGAGAGACCAGCAGTACATGGGTTTAGTGTGAGACGGCGAAATCTTCTACTGCACCAGTATGCCATTCGGGTTATGCATCGCACCCAGCGCTTTGCAGACTGCTGTTGACTGGCTGTTCGTTGACGTACTGTAGGAACTGATCTACAGTGAGTGAGGATTCTTGCTTCGCAGTGTACATAGACGACATCATGGTAGCATGCAGAACCTAATAGAACCAGCAGCTATGCTATACGACGTGTGCAACTGTCAAATCGCTGTCTACGACAGGCCTTTTTTATGTGCTACAAACTCGAGTTCAGTGTGTAGCGACGTCTAGCGGAATTGAAGGTTTCTTACAACCCTCGAAAGCCGAATAACAGTTCCTACATGAGGGTTGTTTCTTTTGTAGTATTGTTTGGTTTTGGTGTTCGTGCCATTGGATCCTAGAGATCTGCCGCCGGATTTCGGGATGAACTTGCTTCTTGCGAGTTTCCCATGATAAACGAAACGGCGAGCACCGCTGACAAGTAGTACTTGTGAGTGTCAACTTGCCAGCAACATTGCGTAGATTTTCGAACGCCAAAAGCCGTACACGCTGTTGGAGTTTCACTCCAAGAGTGCTTCTTATGGGCACAAGGTTTCATGATTCTTCATAGGTATCAAGACTGAAGTCTACTCATTGCAGAGCATTATTTACGATGAGAAGAAGCTCGGTAATCCACGGCGGCTTGAAGGCTCACAGGCTCACTGCGTGTGAGGTACAGGTAGAAGTGGAGCATCGTGCTATATCAGGACTCAACCTGGGTCAACGACTGAGTCGTTACGACTCGGAACAGTTTAGTCGGACATTCGTCATCACTGATATCTAAACATAAACGGTTCAGCTATTGTAGCATTTCCACTACGCATCGTCGACTGCTGTGGTTGGGGGCCCACGATGAGCTCTCTGCAGGCTGATCGTTTCCTGGCTGCCAGCCAGGACCCATTTGAAAGAGCCATCCCGCCTCGTCCTTGTCTCGGTGTGATTTGGAGTGCTTGTGCGGGGTGTCCGGGTATGGAGCAGGCTGAAGCTCGTATTGAGCAATCGGTCTGTTCTCTCTCTATATTTTTGCTCCGTACTCCATTCTGATGAATTGCGGAAGATGTCATCGCTATGAGAACATTGTGGAAGAGGAAAGTGACCAAACGAATAGTTGAGAGGATTTGTGTTGTGGCGCGGCTACTTGATGGAACACAAAATGGAGACAGTTTACAGCTCTGGGCAGAAAAAAAGGTTGGTGACTGGTGCCTTCGAGGGGGTTGAGGTTTTCTCGTTCGTCACTACCCCTCCTATATCGAGCCGAGGAAAAGTGCTTTTATTCTATCTATACTGTCTGGGTTGCATGGCCTGTGCTTTTTCGCGATTTTGGTGTCGTTTCGTGTATTGGTACGGTGTGAGCGTTCCCGGAATGACAAGATCATTCCTCATTTGCGTCCTTTCCTTCTTTGTTGTGAGTATTCAAGAGCTAGTGGAACCTTTCATAGTGGTAGCTGATTGTCATAGTGTTGTTTTTTGTTCGTTGAAATGAGTTGCTTGCTCGCGCCTGTTGCTGTCGCGACTATCCTAGCGCCGTGTTTGTTCGTTCCGGGCGATGTTGGGGAGATCACAACGGTTGATGAATCTGAGGGTATATATGAGCCCACCGTCGAAATGGTGTTGGGATTCTGTTTCGGCTTGGCTGTGGGGTTGTTATTACGGCTGGGGAGAAATGACGAGTGGCGGGATCGAACCGGGGTGGTATCTGATATCCGTTCGAGCTGTCGTGGTAAGGCTAGAAGTGCACGGAGGGGGGATCGAACCAGCGGTCAAGAGGTTGTTTCCGCCCGTGTGAGGAAGCGTATTGAAAAGAAATCATCTGGTCTGGGCATGCGAATACAGCCTCTGATGTCTTCTATATATGTCCAGGGAAAGGGGGAAGCTAACGAGTAATGGTAGCAATAGTTTTGTCGAAGTGAACTCTCTTGTGTCTCAGGTCGTCGACTGTTTATGCCAGGAAATCGTCGATCAGAAGTGGGCGATTTGCTCCGACGATTATAGTGCCGTCATTGCGATGATAGATAGTTTTGCATGGAAGTTGTCCTCATTGTGATGTGCTATAAGACGGTTGTTTCCGAGTTGGGGAAGGCGGAGCGAAGTTTTTTTTCTCTCAGTATATTTCTCGTGAGTATTTCTTGCCCTTATGTCCCCTTTCTATGCGTTAGCCCCGATAATCTTGGCCATACTGGGGCCTCAACACGGTTGCTCCTATTTAAGAGATTGGATGAATTCAGCTATTGCCGGAGTGAAGAGTCACACGCCACGAAATTGTGTTGCTGTCAACAACGTGCCTGCTGGTAGCGGTGATGGTCGGTTTGCACTTTGTTTGGTGAACTTGAATGAAGACAAAACTGATACAAAAAACGACGAATTGGATTGGACCGCTGAAGCCTTAGCGAACTTCATCTCCTCTAGGAGTGCGGAACTACTGCTTGCCGGTGGTGATATCCTCAGCATTTTTGGTAGAGTTGAATACTGGCTTGGCCTTGCGTGGGGTACTTTGGCCGGTCTCGCAACTGCGTGGATGATCGGACGTTGTTGTAGTGGTAGAAGAAGTGGTGGTGGCGGTGAGTCGAGAAACGTTTATTATCCTGCTGAGGAAAAGAGAGTCGAAGTTTCTATCGGCGAGCAGACGATCGATGGCAATGACGTTGTTATTTCGGTGGAGACGCCAGCGACTGAGTCTACTAGTGCGGAATCAGCTACCCCGAGGATGGACAATGTAAAGGAGGCTGAGGCATATCGCAGGGAACTTCCCGATGTGCGATTCAATGCGCCTGTGTACCGCGAAAAAGTGAAGGACTTATCACAGTGAGCCCTTTGGTGTGTGAAATTGTCTCTGATCTGTTGTCAGGTTCTCGACAGTTCCCTCATCTATAGAGGCGGTTGAGTTGCCTCAGACAGAAGTTATGAAGTAAGACGAGTTTGTTCATTGGCTTCGATGAGTTTGGTGAAAATTGTAGGGGTCCCTTGTAGTTCTAGGCACACTTTGGAATTGGTTTACGGTCGAAAAATATGGCCCGAATGTTAACTCGGAATTTTTGCAGGCGATTTGCTGAGAAATTCTCGAGTAACGAATTGAATTGTTGGAATGTTGCTGTTAATGTTGGGGATTTATGTTTGGTTTCCTCACGTGAGCTCGACAGTTCCTCACTACATTATGGAAATCCACACACGATTTAGGGTAGAAGTATACAAAAACCAACAATAATTTTCCAAAATTTTATCCGAATTTTCATATTTTCATCAACACATGTAGTTGACCATATTTATGTCTTTTCACACTGGGAAGAACGTTTTACCGCATTTACGGTATGTGATCAGGTCTCCTGCTGATGGTTCTCTCTCTGGACGGGCGGAACAAACCGCGGTGTCTTCAGCAGCGGAGATCCCGGACTCGAGGCCGGCAACTGAACCTAAGTTGGACGGAGGAAATGAGTCACCTTCCACTCTGAGCAAAACTGACGCTATTGCTGGTGCTGCTGAGAACTCGAATGCACCCAACGCTACGGGTGAGGGGTTGGGGGATTTTCGCTTGATGAATCTAGCCTAGTGTGTGTGTGTGTGAGTTAAAAATCCAACGCCTACGACAAAACGGGTTAGTTGGATTCGCATCGATGCACATTAGCTCGCGAGGGTTCAGTTTTAGCGTATTGAATTGGCTCGTTCGTGACGCCAAGAAGTGTTGTTCACAGGGCGAGAAAACCTTGGCCAAGAGCGGCTTTACTTTGGTTTTTATTAAGTTACACCGGCGTTAGCGGACATTGAGTACAGCAAGGGACCAGCAGCCTCTCCACGGCAAAACGTGACTGGTGGTAAATCGAAACGTCATCGTCCTCCGAAGCCGGAGCGTCAGAGATGTAAGTTGGTCTTCATAATCGATCACGTGATCGATTATGATTACAGTCTTGGGATATATGTTTGCTTCCCTCAGCTGGACTCGGGAGTTCGCTTACTTATTATAGGAGTTCCCGTACGAACTAACTTAGTTCAACTAAGGTGTACGAGAATTTCCTCGAAATTTTGATATTGCCACCGACACATGTAGTTGACCACGAGCATATTTTCCCAACCCCACACTTTGTGATGACATAATGAGGTGCTTCTGAGTGTTCTCTTGTCAGTGGCAGCGTTGAGGCAACAACAGCGTGAAGAGGAAGCAGCTGAGAAAGCTGCCCTTCTCGCGCAAGCCCAAGCGTGAATAGAAGTGCTCCGTAATGGAGATCTTGCGGTATGAAAGTTTACTCGGTGATCATTATGTGTGACGTTATTGGTAGCCGTAGAAGTGTTAGATGAGTACATTCATCGTTATTGTCACCATCAGCATTTTTCTGATGGTTTTCACCATTTTCGGTTGAGTTCCTGTATACGTGTTGGCTTGGCTCATGATGAGAGGTTTTTGGTTATTAGTCAGAGGGTGCGAGGTAAAGATGTTCATGCCTTGAACTAGAGCAATGAGGATTCTATTTGGCCTGCGGGCACGAATATACGAATGAGGGCAATAACTCACTGAGTTGAGAATGATAATTATAATAGCCAATAGCGATATTGGGTTTGCATGAGACCAGCATGTCAGTCAACGAGGAATTCGGCTGAACGGATCACCTCGAATGAAGATTCAAATTAGAAGCTCCTATTTCATGACCAAGGGAATCGATTTGGGCGATACGGACATCATTCCTCTCGGTCTAGCGATCTACAACTTTGGTGATAGTGGTTTTTTCTGGCGATGTGGGAAGTTGAGAAAATCACGAACCATCGGAGGCCGTTCAAATCTTGAACTTCAAGATGGACATCTGGTGGCATTCACCGAATATTGAATGTAACTATCTTCATCGACAATCACTCGAGATGACTTCAAACCGAGGGGGGCAGGAGCACTCCAACCTGCGGACTGGGCATGTGGCTCGCAAATGATGGTGAATGCCGAAAGGGCTGAATATTCGTTGCAGTGCGGATATAGATTGATCGATACATCGTGTCGGACACGGCGCGGATGTGAGAGAATGAGGAGGAAGTCGGGCGAAGAGTTGTCGAGTCTGCTGTGTTGAATGAAGATATTTTTCTTGTCGCGGAAGTAGTTCCAGTTTGAGGATGTTGGTGAGATACTATATCGTGTAGTAGAATATTTTTCGCTCAACTCTCTCAGGCTATCCCGAAACGTACTAGATGCGTTTCACTCCGACGGTATCGACGTCGCGAACAACTAGTTCTAATCTACGAATAGAACAAATGCGTTCATGTAAGAAGTTCCGATTGTGCAGCACGCGCAGTATTAAATATGCAAAATAACACCTCCAGCGGGGCTCGAACCCGCGACCACGGCCTTAAAAGGGCCGCGCTCTACCGACTGAGCTATAGAGGCTTGTGCCAAATGTTTAAATATTAGTCCGATGATGTTGGTCAGCGAGCCAGCCTTGACGATGTATCATCAGCGGCCCTATAACGACAAGATGTGACTGGCTCCCACAGCTGTGGACCACAGCCTGTGGTCGGCTGAACGAAATAAAGGCTCTCGCGCAGAGTCTCTGTCATGCTCGCCGAGCGAGCCCGGCTAGCGCCAAATCGCAGCTCAGTGGGTAAGCTGATCCGACAGACGATGTGCTCGAAGGGCTGAGGAGGTCGGCTTCAGACCCATTTAGTTGTAGTCTCCGCGAGTTCGAAGCCTCATGCTGTCTATGAAAACCTACTAGAGTTGATATCTGTTCGCCTCTCTCTCTCACCCTTTGTCTGGACAGTCGGTAATCTCATAGTGAATTTTGATCGACACATTGTGTCGGACACGGCGCGGATGTGAGAGAATGAGAAGGAAATCGGGCGAAGGGTTGTCGAGTCTGCTGTGCTGAAGAAAGATATTTTTCTTGTCGCGGAAGTCGTTTCAGTTTGAGGATCTTGGTAAGATACTATATCGTGTGGTAGAACAATTTTCGTTCAACTCTCTCAGGCTATCCCTAAACGTACAAGATGCGTTTTCAAATCGTTCAAAGCGTTTCAAATAAAATTCTCTTCATCCGGGACACAACGCCAACTAGGCTGAGCCAAAGCTGCTATTTCTGCCCACTCGGATCCCTACTCATGCCCACTAGCGCGACACCTTGAGTTAGCATAGTGCAGGCCCATTCCCGATCGGCTGCATGTCAGTCCATTGCACGAACTATTCGAAGTTCTAACTGACTCGTCCTAGCTCGAATACGACTCTGTGCTCTCGCTTCCGACCGGTATTGAACTCTTCACCCGGGACACAACGCCAACTAGGCTGAGCCAAAGCTGCTATTTCTGCCCACTCGGATCCCTACTCATGCCCACTAGCGCGATACCTTGAGTTAGCATAGTGCAGGCCCATTCCCGATCGGCTGCATGTCAGTCCATTGCACGAACTATTCGAAGTTTTAACTGACTCGTCCTAGCTCGAATAGGGCCGCATTAGCCGAACGAGGAGCTTGGGCTCGCGGAAAAAATATTGGGCCAGAGGGAGAAAATCTTGGGCGGGCGGAAGAAAATCTTTGGCCAGAGGAAGAAAATTTTGGGCGCGCGAGAGACGAAGGAGCATCACGCGCAGAATTAAATATGCAGAATAACACCTCCAGCGGGGCTCGAACCCGCGACCACGGCCTTAAAAGGGCCGCGCTCTACCGACTGAGCTATAGAGGCTTGTAACAATTGTCTAAGTATTAGTCCGATCCAGTCTAACAATTCTCTCGGCCGTATTTTCTTATGTAACAATGAATACTATAGCATACGATGGTCATAGGATATTTTGTAGTCTCCGCGCTTCCACAAAAAAGGCAGTCGGGAAGGGTCTTCTAGCGGGGATCAGCTGGCGACCACTAATAACACCAATGAACCAAGTATCTCTTTGAGGCATTGATGAACAAGGTATCATGCCACATAGATTCATAGGCGAGAACCCTTTCTGGATTATAACTGTGTATAGGTCGAAACCTTTATGAATCAGCAGCATTACTGTGTCGCTAGGAATGCAATGCACCACAGTAATCTATGCATTCGTCGTTGACTCGACTGTTCGAGTATGCAGTTTTTTACTAACATCAGGTGCATCGAAAACGACGAACTCGAGAGCTCTTTGGGAGTCATCTGTGCAGTGTGTTAAACTTGGCATTTTGGCAATTACACTATATGAAATCTTTCTTAAAAATCAAACAGAGGGTTTCGCATGATATCCATAGATAACAAGCTTGCGATGCAATCCTTTGAGTTGTTTCCTGCATCAGATACTGATGCGTTTCGTGTTTTAACGACATCAAACCATATTGAGGCCAACGTTTCCGTGAGCTTGATATTTTGTTCCGCGCTACATAGTAGTTGGCGATGAACACCAAAGTTTCTCGGCAAAAGCAGTACAGTACCGATAGTATAGTTCAGTGCATCAGGAGGTTCACCGAACTATGACTGTTATATTATAGCTATTATCCTTCAGCTGATCGCTGAGCAGGCCAACATCAAACACGAGATGGAAAGGATAGGATATGTGAAGAACTCAAGTTTAGGCTCGAGTTCGGCAACTCATTACGCCGTCCCGATGAGAGAACTTCCCCGCTGTAGATGAGCGCAGCAGTATAGCGCACGTATTCGTTAGGAAACTCAGCTTGTATATCACAATGGAATGTGGAGTCTTTGACACACAGAGGCAACCCTGAACTTCAGGCCTTGGGACCGGCCTGAAGCAGGAGTCCACGGCGAATGTAACGCATCTGCTGCGCGATGATCTGCGTGACACTAATTCCCCATGCGTTGAATGGTTTGTTCCTTGTTGGAAAACAACTTAGACACGATGAAGTGGCTAGTGATCGATCGCGTACCAGGCGAGCAGGAACCGAATTCCGATCGGTTGGGCGCGCGCTGATGACGTCGTTTCATACCTCCTCCCGAAACGGTCGGGCGAGCGAGAAAGCAAGAGCGCATGATGCGATCGTCGCAGTATCACTGGCCAATTCGATCTTTCTCAGCCTTACTTGTCACACTCTTATCTAATTATGAGCGCTGAAGCTGCCGCCGCTCCTTCTGTCCAGCACCGCCAGTCAGTCAACACCTACTCCGTGTCCCCTCAGACCGGTGTCACCTACACTACTCTTCCCCCACAAGGTGTCACTAGCTACGCTACGGGTCAGCCTACTACCTCTACCTCCTACGTACCACCGGAAGGTCAGCAGGCCCTTCCACAGGTCTATATGGATCCTGATAGCATCAAGCACCAGAAGACTCAGAGCCTCTCTATGCTCGATAGTCAACTTGGTATGGCGAAGGACTCGGCAAAGAACGAGTTTGAGCAGGCTAAGCAGTCGATTAATATGAAGGCCAATTATGATCTGCAAACTACCACCAGTGCTATCGAGCAGTCTCGTGCCCAGGCATTGTTCGCGTTGGAGCAACAGCATCAGCAACGACGAATGGAGATCGAGCAGAGAGCTCAAGAGCAAAGGATGCAGATCGAGGCTACTGCCAGTCAATTGTGCATGCAAGCTCAACAGCAAAAGCTCCAGAAGGAGATGGCTGACAAGATGGCTAAACTCCAGCAGCAGCAGGCCGCTGAGCAACAGAAGCAACAACAGCAACAACAACAAGCGACTTCCTATGTCCCCGCTCAGACCACGTCGTACATTCCCCAGTATGTGACTTCTCAGACCGGCTCCTATGTGCCTCCTCAGACGGTCCAATACGTCACTTCTGGTCCCTCCACTGCGGGTCAGCAAACTACCTATTCTTCAGCAGCTCCTGGTGTGACCTATTCGTACGGTGGTGGATACCCGGGTGCCTCTGCGGGTGTACCCTCGTTTGGCACCTATAATATGCAACTTCCACAGTACGGCCAACCTCAAGTTGTGAGCTCTACTAGTGTGCAACCAACGACTACCACCACAACCCAGCAAGCTACCTCTGCTCAGGCTTAGTGTTGTAATTGAGTGAAGGATTCCAAAGAACTCTTTCTGTGCATTATTGTTCAGAGAGGAAGGATATCCCTAGCGATGACGTTCTTATATGGTTGATTTGTTGCGTTATTTAGTCAAGGGAGGATTTTTTATTCTCTCAGTGATCAGAATTTTGATTAGTATAATTCGTTACTTTATAGAAGCTGTGGAACCAGTAGTGTCCTGTACCAAGGGCGAGCTAGAACCTTTCAATGCTTGAAATTTACTGTATATTGTTAAGATCGCTTTCGACGTCGAAGTGCAAAGTTTCTCTGCACTAATTTTATGAGATATGTATGTCGTTAGCTATGCCGTAAAGCTGCGACAGAGACTTCTTTACGTAATACCTTCAAGCATCATATTGATACGTTGGGACTAATGGTATCTAACTACTTACATGTGCGGGTTGAGATGAAATATAGATTAAAACTACTGGAAATGCTCTACACGGATACATTCGCTAATAATTACGTTTCATGAGGTTAGAACTGATCCCTCGTGAGGTAATTTGCATCGATGCGAACCTAAGCCGTGTTGTCATAGGCGTTAGACTTTAAACTCTCTCACACACGTTTTTCTACCTATCCTAGTGAGGTTGAAAACGTAGCATTAAGCATGGACTACCAACCTTGCTCTGGAAGGACTAGCCGAGGGATTAGACGTTCAACGTTCATATTGTTACAAGTGCTGTAGATTAGATCGCACTACACCTTTTCAATCTAAAATTCAGCAAATGTGAGAACAAATAGAAGCTGGTGTTGTGTGCGACATCTTGGTCTTGCGTTACACCTTTCGAGTTCGACGAATTCGAACTTGTTCCCTGTTACGAATGTGAACTTTCATTTCGAGCTAGAACATTCATTCCGTGATAAACGGCTTTCATTCTATTAGAATTAAACTTTATTTTTCTAATTCGTCCTTTTACTCGCCGAATTTGAGATTTTAAAGGTGTCGTTCACCCATACGTCGGTAATCAATGTCTGATCAATCTCAACTGTATTCAACACAACAGCATCATCGAGCAATGGAAGCTGGAGAAGAAGATTATTCAATTCCATCGACCACTAACAAAATGTATCTTGTGTATTTGATAATCCTTGCACTGGCAAAGTGTGTATGGATTTGAATGACTCGGAGTTCGTATTGTACAAGTGGCCAGCTTCTACTGCACCTTCTTCTTGTGGGCGATCGGTTCCTCGCCCTTTGGCGTGCTCTCTTCATCGTCACTGCGAATATCACCATCCTGAAAAGGAACATGCTTCTTTCGACATGTAATTGGTTAATATGATTACCGCGAGAACACCATGGTGTTTGATCGTCTTGAAAATCATCTTGATAATCATACTACCCCAGATGATATGCAAGCACTGCAACAGCACTAGGAATATAGCCAGCATACAGTCCTTCAACGGGCGTTTATACTCGATAGCTGAGACCATGGCAAACTACTCCAATACATATATACCGTAACAATCGTACCATAAGTGCACGCCGGAATAACGCAGATTCTCGGGTACACATATAACCTCGAGAAAAGGAAACCGAACGCGAAGTTGGCGAAGGCGAGATCGGTCGGAGTCTTCAACCCTGTCCATAATGATCATTCATCTAAGCGAACTTGGAGGAGTTCTTACATTCATATTTTTCCGCGAGGTAACCCACAGTTTTTGCAACGTAAAGAGGCACATCGCTGATATTATGTAGGAAAATCACAGTAAGGCCAATACGATGATATTTAAGGTCTGAAAAAAACATTATTTTACACCAACAAGATGGAAAGAAATTTTCCTACAGAAACTTCCGATCATCAAACTAATAGTTATGAGATGATGGAAAAACATCTGGTAGAAGTCCTTGCGAACCGTTTCGATCATCTGAGAGGCATTCATAGTATACATATCTCTGCTGATGATGATGATGCCACTCACGATGAAAGCCAGGCAGCTGCACCAGAAGCTTATCTCAACCAAGTAGTAACGCTCTAACTGAAATCACAATGGGAATTCGAATCAGCTGAAATTAGTACCCCGATAGAACGGTCGTGAACACCAGGGTCAACGAAGAGCATCCCGACAGGGTCCGTGAGCAATCTGCTGAAGCTGAACCATGCCTCGTGGGAGACGACATAGAAACCATAGCAGCTAGTGAAGGTGTGCCAGCAGGTATACCTAAATCATTGAAGAATAGCAGAGAATACCTGAAGTCAATAAAAACGCTAAAAGTTATTTCAATTTGATAGTATTCTGAATCCGAGAGCGACCATTTAACGGTTACCATTTGAAAAAGAAGCCACACTTCGCGACACGAGCTCTTTTGCTAGTGTTACACAAGGCCTCGAATGAAAACCGGGAATTTTCCAAAGTTTTAAATTCCACGAAATCACCATCACATGCGATTCTAGTTTTCATAACTTACCACATGTTTTCCTTTAGTTTACGCAGAGTCTTTGCGGGTAGACCTTTTGGTATGATTCTATCAAATAGACACGGCGCGTTCGCGAAGACCTTATGATAGGCACCGCTGAGTGAGAACCTTATCACCTGATAAAAAGTAACCATTCAAAAAACCCATAAGAAATCTCGAGATGTTATTACGCAGATTAGGGCACAGCAACACGGTATGAAGATATGCGGACTGTAGGAAGACATATAGAAATTTGAGGAAGAATACACTACGAGGAAACTCGAACACATAAGCATCCTATCGATAGTAGCTATATGCGCCCTGGATCTAGTGCATACCGTTGTCCCCATCAGCAGTCGTAAATCCCAAAGCAACTGAGGAGTGCAAAGGAGACGGGAGCTCAGACACAAGATGGTCGGCACTGTCGAGGAACGACCAATAGAAGTCACTTGACTCTGCTTGTATACCCACATGCATATTGACGTGCCTCGGCACGCTCCAGAGAACCTCTAGCCTGGCGGTAGAGCACATGACCTCTACTTCCCATTGAGCCAACCCAGGTTCAAATCCCACCACCGGCATTTCACCACGTCCCTTGTCCATACCACGGACACCCTTGCAATCTAAACGCTGCCGGCTGCCACCCGAGTGGATACCGCATAGCCGCCGCCCTTCGCCGTCGATCTCCTTCACCAATCTCCTGCTCCCCCCTTGCCTCACCAACGTGCTCAATCACCGATGGATCCGTATGGCGCCTTTCAATTTCATCACACTGAACCGCGGGCTTAACATTAGTAGTGTGGTGATGCTCACATGAAGAGTCAGTGAGCATTCGCTGCACCACGGCTGAGTCTCTCGATCGACTACGTCTCGAAAACTCTGAAACTTTTCGTTCTAATTTTTCTGTTTCTGTAGACTCGGCCTGAAACAAAATGAGAGAATCGATCTTCTCATTAGCGAAAATACTAAAGAAAAATCATAACCATAATTCGATGGGAAACCTCATCACGACAGTTAAGTTCTACGTTCATCGTAGAGCTGCGAAGGAGCCATTCGAAAAAAATAAATTCTACTTACTTGATATTAATACTACCACATATAGCAACGATCGATATCAGTGTTGGAGAAATGTATGTCTGATTTCCTCAGTTGAGCTTCCAGAAAAAACTCTTTCTTGGTAAAGTGAAAAACCAATGATAATTTCCTCAGAATTTTCACATTCTCATCACCAACACATGTGCATATTTCCCACACTGATCAATTCACTTCAAGCCCGAACATGACGGAATTGAGACCATCGTAGTACAACCCCCATACACCTACCATAGACAAATCAGACGCGGCTACCTCTATACCATCTCGAGGGTCTCCCTCTTCTGGTGCGGACCTCAGACGCCTGAAAGACATCATCACTGTTAAAGCCGGATAAGACTAAATTTCCGTCACGCGCCACAAAATTACCTCAAAATTCCGTACCCGAGCATCGCGGCAAACAGAACCCACACGACTGTTCGCAACAAGCGTTCAATCACTGATGCTGCGAAAACAAATACTTGGCCGAACCTGAGAGCAACGATCTTGAGCGGCGCGGGATATGACTAAGTTACTACACCCATCGAATGGCCGAGAATACAACCCATATGGGAGCAATGGCGACTTCATTCGCCGAGAGAACTGGTGAAGCGGGGAATATCGAGCTGAAACACCAAACGACCCCGGTTCAATCCCGAGCGGCAACATATAGGAAATAATTAAATATTCACCAAAAACCGACTACGATATTACTATTATCATCGATGTAGTTAATATTCATATCACCTGAATTCATGCCAGTTTCACCCGTTTTACGTAAAGTGCCGCAATACTGCATGTAAACACGTGGAAATATGCTTTTCACTAGTGTTTTCATATCACGGCTGATTCAACTCCACAAATGCATACCATAACTACTCACTAATCCCAATGAAAAGCACATAGTCATTCGAAAAATCCATATCAAAAACAGAGCTTCCACTACTACTTTGAACTTAACTCTTCGAGTGGAGGCAAATCCATCCCGTTATCAACCATAGCGCTATAAAAGGTCGCCAACTCGGAGGAGTAACTCCACTGGGCGTACAGAATCTGAGAGCACACCAGAGAAGATACAAAAATGCTCGCCTACTTACTCTGGTCATCACTCCAACCAAGACTGCTACCATAAGTAGGGATGCATACACGATGTATCGGGAACGCTACGTGCAAAGAAAGCGACATGTGGTATTAGACTTAATTTTGGTAGTATATAATTAGCGATAAACCTAGGCATTAAAATATACGAAATTATACCATATAGTGTTATAACCCTATTATAGTAATTTTCATCAAAGTCAGTTGCTCAACAGTGGTGGGTGTTGGGATGCTAGTTGGACGAGGAGCTCAGTGGGGAGTGTGGTCCAACCCGCAGCACACATGTAAGTGTGTCTGTTGTTCATTACTCATATTCTACTATCCACTATCAATGGCAACACAAACATTACTAAGATAAACTTCAAATACATCATATCAAGCGTTTCGGGATTACATCATACACCGAGGAAAGCTCACATAAGTTCTCCCGTTGAGAAACCTCGAACAGACACTGACTCACCTTCCTCTTGAGCGTCAACTCCTCTGCTATGACAACAACAGCTTGTCGGAGCTCTTCAGGTGAGGGAACACGATTAACCTAAAATAAAAGATCTAAATTTTCTCCTAGTTCAACACCTACTTTTTCACGACCATCACCACCGCTCGGTTGCGTCCGCTTCCATTCAACGCCGATACCACAAAGTTCCTGTATAACCATCTCATGGGAAACCAGTTTCCGTTGGAGACTCTCGAGTTCTTTTTCCAACGCTTTTATCTGAACAATGATAACAATTCCTTTTATGAATCGAATCACCCGCATCGTCCAAGTTGACGAGATGATCCAACCGAAATATGAAATACATAAGATAGTGTCCTAACAGCAAACGCTCGAAAGCAGTAGAAATATTCAACCTGCGACGCCTTCTTGAATGTGAAGGCAAGGTATATATGATCGCTCTATTGAAAACATAACAACGGACATTCTAAGGTTTGCTATCAAATGCTCCTAATGCTACTTCAACATAAATCACAATAGCAAACGCACCCATAATACACCCAGAACGGACCGTATACCGCGAAGAACTCAGAATTATGCTGAATTCGATCGTGAGTGCTGGGGAGAAACGATTAGTTCAAATACGGGTATCGACATAGTAGTAGTATATTGAATTTCCCTACCCTTAGGTCGCAATCATCCACAGATGACGAACCGCCATCAGGATCGTTGGAGGAGCTAGTAGTAGAAGTGGCATCACTCACTGGACTAGGCATGGCTGGCACCAACCTAGAGGCTGCGGCCACCGGGGATTGGCTGTGAATTCACATCGCTCCGCCGCCGACAGCCCTTTAATCCTCTATTCGGACGACTCGGGTTCGATCCCCAGCGGTGACCCTTTTAGTTCACATTATATTTTGGTAAAATATGATGCGAATTAAATACGATCACTTGCAGAGCAGCTTTGTTTAAGTTCAACACGGAATGTGTGAAAGATCTGTGCCATAATTTACGCCTGCGTCTATTATTCAGACGCGGTTAGTCAAGTTTCCCTCACCAGAATTGTCACTATGTATTTGTACACGAAGTTGACTGTAGTAGGTGAGCTTGGGAGACATGTACATGATCAATTAAATGTGTTAGTTTCGGAATGAGACTTCGGGTGAAATTTTGGGATCATTTCTACCCTAATTCGTGTATGACAGCGAACTCATATATCCCAACACGGAACAAAACAGCTTAGATTCAGCACGCGGGTGTTTCAAACATGCACGGATGATAATCACGATGAAAAATAATCTTCATTGGTTCAAGCGCTCATCATCAGCAACGTAGCAATCACAACAGAGCTGATTGCAGCAGATTCAGCACTCGAGGTAGGGTTAGCAGTGGTGGGGTCGACAGTGGTCGTTTCGGGAACGCCCGTCACAATGGTAACAGGTACGCTAGTCTCTGTAGTAGTACTGATCGCAACGGTCGTGCCTACAGGACCGGCAGGCGTAGTGGTGGTCGAAGTAGTTGGCGTAGTAGTGACCAGCTGAGGAACTGTAGTTGATGCAGCTGCGGTGGTAGACTGAGAGACTGCACTCACGATGAGCACGAAGAGTAGAGCGAGCCGCATCATGAGATAGGAAGATAAATGTAGGCTGCAAGCTAATGATAATACCACAACAGTACCGACTAACGTTGTTGTTATCGAGTGGCAATCCTGCGACAAGAAACCGTTTTGGATACGTCCGCATCGCATCCGAAATATTTGGCAGTTTCCACGAAACGGCGGCAACCGAAGTCCATTCGGAGAAAACTCCGAAGGACGAACATTGAGTCGCACTTCTGATCTCAAGCCGTTTTTGTTTTCTCAGGAACACACCCTGCGGCCGTGATCGACTCGCTGAACCTGGTTGTGATAATCCTTGTGGTTATGTTGGAACTTACCTCATTGTTCTCCGCATTGATTCCTATAGACTTATAAAAACTCGCTATGCGAAATCTGATGCACTGCGAATCTTGGAATCATCTCCAAACTAATATGAAATCCACGCTCTGCATATGCAGTATCAAAAAAAAACCTCCGTAGCTATCTTTCACTATACGACCTAGAGACTACACAGGTAGTTGACTGATGCGTAACGATAACGAAGCTCTATCAATCATACGTACGATAAGAGTATTTTCCTCAAGTACATCAATGATTCAATCGGATGTGTTACGGCAAGAAAATCAATGTGTCTTCCGAGCTTTTATCTCCCGCAGAGGACTTCTCATGCTCCTACCGATGCTGGAGTTGTTCTGCTGACAACATTCTCTCGGAAATTTCCTTGAATATCCAACACAAACATGTTAAAACACTCGCACGTTCATTCCTGCTTCCCACAACTCGCCCTTGAGTACTAGTTACTCGAATCATGGATACTCAGGAATACTCTACATGCGGTTGATGATACAATTACCGAAAGGATGAAGTAGATCACAGTAGTTATGCTAGAAGCAAAGATGATCGCATTTGCTGCAGTTGTAATAATATCAGGAGTGATCACGGCATTAGTTCTTACAGCAACGGTACTCTCCACTGTATTAGTTCCATCGAAACAGCAGCAACAGGCTATGTCGCTGGGGCCACTGTAGCTACAGCATAGATAGTAGGATCAAGCGTCTTAGTAGTGACGGCAGCAGCCGTCGTAACAGCAGCAGTCCCAGTGGTAATACCGGCCGACTGTAAGGCGATGGCTCCCGTACTGAGAAAGGAGGTAGTAAACCGCACAAGTAGGAATAAGCTGGTAATCCATGAATCCAAGTCAAACACAACATCCAACTTAGCGAAGCACGAGTGAGAGTATTCACCAAGGACGTTATCCATACTTTAGAGACGTTATTCAGCACCGCCAATGAAGCTACACTACTCAATGTTACGTATTGCTCTACAAAACAATGCTGAAAATGAAGACAGCAACTGAGCTGATGACCCAGGCACAACGTGTAGTGCCAGAAGTGGGTGATTGAGTCGTTGTTCCAGGCGTAGTGGTTAAGACGATACCGTTGTGCTGCGCCAATTTGTGGAGGATCCAGCAGCAGTAGAGGTGGCTGAGAGGCCGTAGTCTGAACCCCAAAAGTAGTAGTAGCTGCATCGGCCGCAGCCGTGGCTGTGCT